TTTATAGCTACTGTATTCTGTATTCAGTGTAGCTGAAACACCATCTTCAAGGGCAGCCCGTAGAATAGATCCATGGGTATGGGACCTACTTTGGTTTTTACAGAGTCCCAGCAATATCTTGGTTTGTAGAATTCCTGGTAATCAGATGCTGCTTGCACCTCCATACACCACTGCCAAGTCTTGGAACGCTCCCGGGAGGTGATCATATAGAATTTTTGTGAGTCTCTGTGCTCCACTTCCCCCCGCCCACCACAGCAATTTAGCAGCACAGTGGTGTTGATAACAAAAAGAAAATATTTTCTTTTAAAATAAGGAATGAAGGGCTTGCCTTGCATCCAATTTGATTAGCACTCTAAGAAGCCTCCCAGAAGTGCTAAGCTGATCGTGCACAAAATGTTGGCTCACCATCTATCTTGTGTTGAAGTCTAATGGCAGTTGTTTTTTTTTATCATCGCTGCTACTGTGTCAGCAAATCTTGGCACAATTTGCCTTGAAACAGGATGCTCCAATAGAAAGAGCCTTTTCTGTAAGCTCATGAGCACTTCTGAGATGTTTCCATCATAATGACAAAAGCCCCATCTCCTGCTGACCATGTGTACTTACCCTCAAAGACTGTTCATCCTACTGGAGGTTTTCCAGAAGAATTATCCAGTACACCCTAGATGGGCATACAACTGGGAGAGTCACAAAATGCTGTTCAAACACTACGTGTCCAACTGCTATGAGTCTGGTCAATAACGAAAAGCACCCACAAGGATTAATGTTCACATATATCTGTACAGAATATAACAATTTCTATTGAAAATGACATAAAATACACTCAAAGTGCTTTTTGGAGAAAGGATCTAAATTAAGCATTAAATTAAACAGAGTAGACTATGTCTAGATGGGCGGCATATAAATGCAATAAATAAATAAAATAAATAAAATAAACATGTGGTTCCTCACTGATATCAACACCATGAGGAGGGCAGCAAATCATGAGAGCACCGTTCATGGAAATAATACTTGACTACTACCAATGATATTTCATTGCACAGTCAGATTGATGCAGATAGACTCATGTATATCTTGCACTCTCTATGTTCATATGTACTGCTTCGCTTTTCACTTCAAATACTTCTTCCTCAGGAGATAAGTCACAGGTTATTCTACTACGAATTCTGTATATAATCCACAATTCCAGAAACATGGAAGCTGTTTCGCTGACCCAAAGTAAAGCATATATACCTGAAGCACTTGTTTCCACTGAAAACACACACAAAGCCAAAAAATGAACCTGCATCCAGTAATTTGTTAAATAATTGAGTGGAAAAATTCTATTTCTATGGCTGTACAATCAAATTGGGCAAAATATATATATATAGTTGTTCACGCTAGAAAGATCATTACAGATTCTCTACGGTGGTTTTTAGTATCAGATGGGAAGGATGACTGCCTGAGAACAAGCTGAAATGGCTTCAGATTTCAAAGCTAGATTTACTTACCAGTGCATAATGTTATTTCAACATTATATGCATGAAATTTTGATTCATGGTTTCTAGGAATAGAATGTGGCGGAAACCTCACGCTTCCCAATGGACATATCTCTGGACCAAATTATTTTGGGAGCAATACCATGGTAGAGTGTATCTGGAAAATTGAAGTGAGTCCCTTGAATTACATAGTTCTTCGGATTTCTTACATTAGGTAAGTATAAGGGGTTGACAGATTTTCTATCATTTTTCTCCTGCTATAATAACACTTTGCAATTATTTCCTAATTATTGTGGAGATCCTTAAGACAATCTAAAATAGCCATCTTTTTCAGTTTATCTTTCTTTCCTTGAAATTTGTGCAAACACGGATTCCTTGATCTGGTTGCCTTTAAGAATCATCATATAGTCAGTTAACTTTGCAGATCTGATACATATTTGACAGATAGTAAAGTAGCAGTTTTGAGTATCTCACTAACAACTATACAGAGTCATCACAGAGCTGGTGAACTAGCATTGGCATGATATGGTTGTGTTACTTCACACACCAGGGAAACCAGCCACCTAATCTCTCCAACATATTGGGAATTCATCCCGGTTCTACTGAATCAAGTATTCCATGGCATATGTGTTACTGAAGCAGAAGTGGGTTTTTCCCCTGGTTTAACATGAAAATTTGATGTGTGAAATTATGGCATAGTAAGACACAAACCATAATGAACCTATCTTCACACAGTCTTGACTGCAGCAAAGAATATATTCAGATTTTTGATGGAAGCCTGGATTCCCCTTTTGTGCTTGGAAGAATGTGCTCTGACATCTATATTGGCTATAATTATACATCAAGTTCTAACACAATGACAGTTCTCCTGCACAGAGAATCAAATTACATAGGACACGGTTTTGATGCTTTTTATTCTTCTGTACAAGGTAAGAGTGATCTATTTATGTAACTTTAACTAATGTATGGTCTCTGTTATATTGTGTTAATATTGTATTAACATCAATAGCTATTTCTATTGTGGCCCTTCTTTTGATTGGAAGATAATCTTTACATTGTCTAAATTACTTCAATGAAATGAATGAAATGAGTTGCAATTTTAGAAGATACCTTTCTGGTGTAGGACCATATAAGAGGAGAAGATACAATTTACATCCAAATGTTGAGTTAGGTACTCATTAGACCCAACTAACATTTCTTGACTGTTTCTCAAAAGGTTGGTTATTCAGATGTCTCTTGTGCCAGACTTTGGGCATGTTTTAAACCTGCTGCATACTAAGGCCTCTTGACTTTTTGCTTGCAATGTTATTCTTTTAACTGTATTGAGATTTTCTGGTAAATTGCCTTGGAAATATGATATAGGGATGGTATTCAAAAATATCCTGTTGTAAAATACTAAGCAGTTTGTTCTGTTGGTGTCCATGGCCCATGTGCTCTACTTCCTTGCTGATTTTTAAATGCACAAACATGGAGTCTTCTCCACCTCGGAAACTTTATAGCAACGTTGGTTTCTGCTTATAAAATGGAATAGTGAATGCTCCCTTGTACAAATAGCAAGAAAGAAGAATCACCTGTGAGGCAAACTACTGTGTGAGTGCAGAAAACACATGTTGTTTTGTTCTTTAGAAACAAAGATATTTTTTAGAAATTTTCTTAACCATTGGTGGGTTTGGCAAATGAACAGCATTTCTTAATTATTATTATTTATTAAAGGTTGGGAGGTAAGTGTAAGCAATGCACCTCCTTAAAAATGGTATTCCACTAGGGGAAGGTTTCATTTCTAGTTCCCATATTCCACCACCTTTTTCTCCTTAGGTTGGGTGAGACCTAGAAGGTCTGTGACTGGGCAACTATGGGAAAGCTTCTTACACTAGATTTCCAATTCTTTCCTTACCTGGGATAAAATACTCTTGGCTGTGTAGTTTAAGCTTTGCACACCAGCCTTCACAGGTACGACACTGTGAGCGGCCCCAGCTGCTGCTTCCGTAGTGAAACAGCAAGCTCGGGAGGCTACCTAACTTTATTGGACTCAGTACACAAATAAAAAGAAAGAAGGAAATACAGGCTTCTGCAGTCCTTTGCAGGATCAGGTCTCTGCTCTATCTAGCAAGGGTGGGAATGGTAAGGTAAAGGTTCCCCTTGACAATTTTTTTTGGCCAGTCGTGTTCGACTCTAGGGGGCGGTGCTCATCCTCATTTCCAAGCCATAGAGCCAGCGTTTTGTCCAAAGACAATCTTCTGTGGTCACGTGGCCAGTGTGACTTAGACACGGAACACTGTTACCTTCCCACCGAGGTGGTCCCTATGTATCTACTCGCATTTGCATGCTTTTGAACCGCTAGGTTGGCAGGAGCTGGGACAGGTGACGGGCGATCACTCCGTCACGTGGATTCGATCTTACGACTGCTTGGTCTTCTGACCCTGCAGCACAGGCTTC